ATCGGGAAATGAAATATCGCGATATTTCAGTGTATCGATATTTTCTTACACCCCTACTCACTGATGGGAACTTCTCACTCAAGAAAAAAAATTGCAGAAAGTTTTCTTAATTATGCAGATTATTTAATACATAATTGACTATTTTCACTTGTAACTGAGTAAAATGAATCTTCTGTGTTAAAAAGCCACTTTTAATCAGTAAATTCACATCTTTGTAGGCTCCTAACCATGCAAAAACAATTTACATTGTGCCTGTAACAGCAGCATCTGCAATACAAACAGCAGACTGTCTGTACTTCTAATTAATTTAGTAATGAAACAAACAGACAAGCCAAACATTGTTCTCTAAAACACCACAAAACTAGTATGAACACATATTGTCACCTGGTGTTGCTTTGATATGCAAATCCATCCCAGATTTACAGTTTAAATATAAATGCAGCAACACGATGATGTCAGAGGAGCAGCGGGCATCAAGGTGCTGCTCTGCCCCCATGTGGCTCTGCTCAGCTAAAGGCCTCAGGAACATGTGGCTCATCAGAGTTTGAACGACAGCTTTTTAAGGTGAAAATTAATCTCCAGGAGGATAAAAATGATTGTATAAAATGTATTTGTAATTTTGATATAACTTGCGGAAAGTAATCATTGACATTTACCTCTTTTAGAGTCAACCTGACTCGTGGCTGCTGCAGGTCACTAACTTTGAAAAATTCAGTCGCTTTTACAGGAAGTGATCTAAAAATCAGTCTGTAGCTGAGCCAGAGCTCCAAAATGTCTGGATTCTAACAGATTACACAAAATATTTGTTTCAAATTTTGCCATTCAAAGTCAACTCAACRTGTCTGTTAGCAAAGTATGCAATGAGCCACTGGATGGATTTTAACGAAACTCTCAGAAATCAACCCTTAGATTTTTGTCTTTGACTGATTACATTTTAAAGTTAACCCAGTTCAAGATGGTCACCTGTGCTGATCAATCTTTGCAAACACAAAACGGCTACAACCAGTTTGAGATGACATGATTTGATGTGGTAACTGAGAGTTTTACACAACACACACTGAGTGTGATGTCACATGGGATTAGTTTTGAGGTTTGCTGCAACTACAAATCTAAAACTCTTGTCTGGAGARGTTTCATTTTTATTTGTTTATAATCTTCTGACTTTATTTAATTTATTTTATGAAATTCATGAGTTTAGTTTACATGCTTGTGTTTTTCAGTTTCTCTTACTTGTCGCCTCCTTCAGTTCAGCTCCTGCTCCTCAGCAGGGGCGGTTCTAGGGGCGGGACCACAGGGGCATTGGCCCCATCTGAAATCTGATTGGCCCCCTGAAGTGCCCCTGTCCTGTCACTCATCTGTCCTTTGCCCAAGAGTGGTTGCAGTTCCACTTTCAAACAGTAGTGGCACTAATGAGTCAAATAGGAAAGTCCAGCATGAAGCAAGCTGACACAAGTCTTTTTCAATTTGAATATTCCTGCAGAAAAAAGTATTTTAACTGACAACAATGGCTGGATTTTCTCACGTGTGTTTGAGAGTATTTTATTCATGTACAGTAAAAATGCATGTAAAATTGATAAGGAAAATTTACAGTTTGAGCTGTTACAAGTGTCTCTGAACACGTGTGACTGATTAAATTTATACACCTTACAAAAAAATGGGGATTTGTGTGCAAGCATGTTGAACAAACACTTGGCCCCTCTATGAATACTGTGGCCCCTGGATGGCCCCGTACACTGAAAAATCCTAGATCCACCACTGCTCCTCAGTCCAGTCCTGCCATGCCAACTCTCACCTGATCCCATCAGTTCAGATCAGCCCCATCTGCTCTTATGGACCAGTTTGTATATAAATGTTCCTACCAAATCAGGATAGTTATGGACCTATTTCGGGGCGAGGTCCCAGATTTTACGCACGTGCATCATGCTTTTAAAAAGGTCCATTAGAACATTAAGCATTCTTTTGTCTGATCCGTGATWTTTTTTTCTCACAGGAGCTGAAAGTTTCGCTGCCACGTTGGCCTTTTGTTTTCAGTTAAYTAAAATTTAGTTTAACTGAGCTCCCCAAATCAAAACATCCCAAATTAGTGAATGCAAAGCGGCGGGCGATGAGCACTCCTTGGAGAAATGGCAGGACTTTAATTCAATAACTGAATCGAGACATTTAGATAAAAACTGGAGATGTTTATTTTCTTATTAAGAGATGGCTGATTMATTGAAATTATGCCATTGCTAAAAAGAAATAGCAGCAGAGAAAAAGAGAGCATCTACTTTTGGGCTCACTTTAAAATTCATTGACTCTCACAGGTTAAATCACTCATTCTCAAAYGATGAATGAACAAAGCTTAATCTGAAACACAAACTTCCCTCGTGCTGTCTATGTGGGGGGGATTAGGTTTATGGTCAGATTTGCGCAACAGCCCTTGAGCGCGCCTCCCGCAGCGGAACAGGTCTGAGGACCTGCAGGAACCCGGCAGCTTGATGATTTGAACTCGCTGAAAAAAAAAAAGGCGTCGAGGGAAAGTCTGACTTTTACTCCGCCCGAAATGATGGTGGGAGGGAGCTGAGGTGAAATGTTAGGAGACCAGAGTTYGGACGCGTCTTTGTCAAGAGAGGGAAGGTTGGAGGAGGGGACTCATCGTGACTGTTTTTTTGTTCCCTCAGGTAAAAAAAGAGGGGTCCTGAGAATCACTCAGTCGGAGGGGACTTCTATCTCTGAGTCAGTTTTGCCGACGAGTCTGAGAGTTGTTTGTTTTTTAACCCCTGCACAGCTGACCGGCCGTCCGATGTGCGTAAAAGGACTCTGGCTCGTCCTGTTTGGACTCGCAGCTTCAGGTGAGYACTCCAGTTTATTACGAGCGAGCGGCAAGACTTGTAGTGTTTAAACTGTTATATATAAGACAAAAAAATACGCAGTAAAATTTCTTGTTTGAGTTGGAGTTTTGCGTCTCCAACTCTTTACGCGGTGTGAAGTCCCCAGGAATGATGTTAAACCAGAACAGGAAACCCATCAGGAACCAGCAGTGATGGAGTTTTTAAAGTAAAAGAGAATCTCTGATTGCCTGTCCATTAGTGATCCTTCCTCAGGGGCTCCTAACCTCCAGCCCCTGCGCGCTGACGTGCGTCATCGGGAAGTGGAGAACTTGGCACCCGCTGGGTCATCCAAACGCTACAAACCCTTCACACAATTGGCGTCATTTCTGACAAACGTTACAGCACTTACAGGCATCGTGATGCTGGCTGTATTGTCTCAGTGTTTGTCTCCTTTCCTGTCCTTTTTAACGCGCATCCGTGCTGGTAAAGTGATCAAACTGGAGTCCACCTGCTTCCTGTTCAGAGAAGGTTATTCCTGGATATGTGAGAGGAATCAATCCGTGTTTGGCATAAACATCAGCCGCTCACCTCTTCATATCTGATGGAGCAGGTTTTATTAGCACCAACAGGTGCATCACTGGCTTCTTGTGTTGTTTAACCTTGAAGTAATCTCTGACCATCTCGTGTTAAGTGGGTTGTATTGATTGGGCATTTCCATCCACCGCCAGAGCAGCAAGCTGCTTTTGTTTACAGCCAGCATGTGCCTGCAGATCCGTCACAGAGGRTGAGACAGCTCGAGCAGCAGGATGACTAAATATTTGGATGTGGAAGGATGGATAATCAAAAAATAACGCAGGACATGCATGTCGGGGTCGATTCCAGCTCAGTGGCAGTGCAGTTCCCATGACTGTCATGTTGTAATCAGGGTCATTTTGGCCCGAAGCTTTGCTGCTTTGGTAAAAATAATCAAGCAGGGATGATGAGGCAAAAAGCACAGAGWTGTTCACTGAAAGGCTCTCCCTGGTTCCCTGCAGCTGCCATGATGTGCCTCGATCAAAGACATTTGGTTTCCATTTGGAGACTGCTGGAAAGAGTTATGACATAAACAGAATATTTTAGTCGTGCTCCTCCTTTTGCTTTGCATGTTTTTGCAGCAAGTGTTGCCCCAGTGAGAGTCCAGAACTATTCTTAAAGTTCAACAACCTCCTTTGTTGCTTATATGGAAAGACTTTCTTTTAAAGATGATCTAAACCCTGAATAGCACAATGTTTTCAAGTTTGTTTCCCTCTAACCTTCCTCAGCAACTTCAGCAAACATGCAGCAGCAGTTCTCCTTTTTTTTTTTTCAGCCCAGCCTTTGAGTTTTTTTGGGCAGGAAGCCAGCACTGTCCCTACCCACAAGTTTCCACCCAGCCCGGTTAGAAATGTGACCCAACAGAGAAAATGTACTGCGACTTAAATTATGGTGCTTCTATTTTAGGCAGGGCGGCGCAAAGAAATCTGTGAGCTGCGGAATAAAACCAAACCAGATCCTTTCTGCAGAGGGGGGCAGCTACTGCCTGGAACTCCAACAAATCATCAGCTTTTTTTATTAAACTAAAAAAAAAAAACCTTAAAAAAACTTGGGACTTAAAAAACTCTAAAGAAGATGTCTAAAACACTCATTAGGGCCATGATGTTAACGAAGGGCTGTCCTGATACCAGGTTTTCTCATACCTGTTATATGGGGCGCCAAGTGTAAATTGGAAACAAAGAAAAAAATGAGTGCACTTTCTTCACATTTAGTGCATATAAATAATTAGATTTTAATCCTTTTTGGCTAAAACAATGATGATCGTATTATACATGAATAAATTCGGTAGATATATTNAGAAGCAGAAGGTGGTTCTTAAAGAGACAGAGGCCAATTTCAAGGCGTTTAGAAGAGGAAGTGATGAGAAGATAAATTTATTTTCTATTTAAACATAAAAAGGCATTTTAATATCAACTAAAGGTGACATAGATACTTTATTATGGTATAGTATTTAAACGTATGCCTGAGAAACACATAATATTGCCCCTTTAACGAAGTTTTCATGTTGTATTTCTGGAGCCAGAGTATGTGCTTTAGAGATGTTGGGCAGTAGCATTCATCTAAAAACCCCACTTGAAAAAAGTTGTCACATTGTCACGTCACAATCAACTATTTGAATCTAAATGTATTAAAAAAACATATTGGAACATACGTGATTCAACAAAAAAATTACATTTGAAAAACAATCTAAAAGTTATTTTTTTTAACCAGTAAAACAATAATATGGAGGGAAAATACTGCAGCCACCCACTAGGGGGCGCTCCTCCTCAGTGGCTTCAACTTCCAGCTTCTGGTAAAGTCCCAAATTGTAATATACAGTATGTCAATGTTCCACACACCTGCCACTACGTTGTGACTGTTATAAGAGCAAATTTGTCTCGTGGATATTTTTGTAACAATTCCCATAAGCGAGCCCCTCGCATGCTGAAGTTAAGAACCTCTGCAAATGTTGCAAGACAAATAGGAAACTCTTATAAATGTCATTTCAGTTCGTCACCAACATTAGGAGCTRAGCTGCAGGTTTGACACTGTCTGGTTTGTGTCACATCATGGAGTAAACCAATGCTGCTGGTAGCTTTCAGGGTTTTTTTTTTTTTATTAACAACGGCCAAAGTACCTTTCACACATAATAAAAATGCGCCAATTGTTACCCAGTTTTAAATGAACAAAAATCTTATCATAGTTAGATGTCTTTTACGAATTTGTTGTTCCACATAGTCTCATCTGGGATGAGGTCAGGTCCACATGTTTTACAGACAGAGGTCAATTGAGAAGAATGTGATTTGATGACTTATTAGATTCTAAATCAATGTGGGGACAAGTGACAGCAAGAACCAAATGGATTGAGTCATGGGAGGACCTGATTCCATCTGTGGTCTAGCTGAGGAGAGTAGGCTGGGGAGGGAGGAGGAAACTATTAGAGAAATCCATTCTGTTCCGGTATTTTCCCACTCACTTGTTCTTACAAACATACAGTAGTCTCTCTTGTCTGAGCGACTAAAACACACTTCAAACCAACATTAAATCACTTTCATATCTGCGTCTCATCCAAACGCAGAGATCAGATGAAGTCCTTTTGCAAACATTCCCTTTCGTCTTCTTGTTGACTGTCATGCTGCTCGTGTCTGCACTTTAATTTGGCCTTTCCCCAAAGCAGAAACATGAAAACGGCTCCCATGCTGACATGCGCCGACCTGTCCTGACTTATGGGTTCAGCTCCTCCAGCTAGGCGCCACACGCCTTCGCTCTTGTGAACAAACGAATGCCGTTTAATCCAGCTTACCGAAGCGCTTGTTGGCGCTTCAGCTGAGCTCTGTGAGAGGTTTGCAGAACAGCGTCGGCTTCCCGCTTGTGTTTACTTGGATACAGAAGCTATCTGCCTGTCGCGGCGTCTCTAATCTTTCCTCGGTGTGAGGCTGGGATGAGAAAACACGGCTGTGGTTTTTGACACGCTGCTGACACACCTTGGAACACGCTTGGCCTTTGAGTTGAAGTTGACACAGTGGGCCTGGGAGTGTGTCGAGTTGGTGTGTTCATGTTCGGGGCGATGCCGCATCTGTTATGTGTTCCTGAGCATACCACAGTGCTTAGATCTAAAAGTAAACAGAGTTGTCGTTTATTTCTCTGTGTCTATAAAAGTCTGAGACTGGAGTAAGTGCTGCATGGTCATGGTTTGTGTTCACCTCTGTTCTGAAATAAGGCAAAACTGYTTTCTTTTGCTCTCTGCTAAAAGGTGGACGATGATGTTTTTGTCTGTGCGCTGTTTGTTTGCCTTTTCCGTCAGCAAAATACACTCAAAAAATCAGATATAATGGATTTAATAATAATTTAAAAAATGTGTTATGCATTTACTTTAAATGTGTTACCTTTACTCAATTCAGTTGAGTGGAACCAGTTGACATAATTATTTCAAATAAATCCATAATATCTGTTTTTTCAGTGTAGCTCATGAACCATTGGATAGATGTCAATGAAACTCTCAGAAAAGTACAACTGATTAACTTTTGGAGTTAATTAGAAAGGCATTACAGTCAACTGCATACATGTAAATGTATACGGATTGTCRGWAATATACARGGATTTCCCCTCATTTTGCAGGTATACAGACGTGCAGAGCAATCTCACTGATTTTTTTCTTTGTTTCCAATTTACACTTGGCGCCCCATACTATTATTAGTACAAATACATTAGTTTGAGTACAGATATAGATTACATACTGAGTTAGATACATGATGATTATAAAAACATTCCCTTTTTTGGAATCTGGTATTAAATCAAATCTGAAGTTTGTCAAAGTGACCTGAGTCTGAACGGTTGTGTCTCATTTCAGASGACTTTTACATCAGTGAGGTGGGAGCACACAGGTCGAACCAAGTATTAGTAAAGACAGTAACCTCGAGTTGTGCTGTTTAAATCTTGTAACTCCACYTCTTCAGCTGCAGAACAGGAGTCCAGTTGCTTCATCTTTGTTCTTTTAATTTTCCATGTCCTGGATGACTGAGAATCCACAGCAACATCTGACGGTAACGTTTGTGTCAGAACGTATCGATGCTGATGTTACTGGATCGATTCTTTACTTAGTTCTGCTTCTAGCATGTGTTTTTGTTCCAGAAATACATGCTGCACCAAACTTGTCCACAAGAAGCAGGCTCTAATGGTGAACTAAACGAGCATGTCAGATAGTTATTTAGTTTGATCTGATTGAAAAACAACTGCAGAATCAACATGCTAACACGAGTAGCACACTTGTTTATTTCTGTAAACAGTGAGTGAGCTGAATGTGACGTCACATCATCTTCCGCACGTTTTAGAGGTTAATGGAGGTCCCATTTAAAAAAAAAACATGTTACAGTGCAGAGTATTGAAGCACTTTGTGCTTGTAAAAATGCTGCTCAGGATGCCACTAGTAGCCACACACAGCCCGCTTAATGAGGCAGGCAGACAGACAA